TATCACTCATAACAACACAAGGTGACAATAATTGTGCATATTAAAATAACTATGTTTTATTGGTACTTGCTTAGCATAATGGAAACCGAAGCATCCTTACTTAAACGAAACTAGTGTGGGCTCGTGATAAATCCAACCATAACCAAAGAACAATTTGTAGAGTTAAAATATAGCAGTATACGTCCATTAATAAAGATCTGCAGATTATTAATACCGATAAAAGAAACCTTTATCATGCTACGGGTGTGTGGATTAGGTGTTAAACTACAGGCACAGCTGTAAATATCCAGGCTGATCTCCACAAAGAATACCACGTGTTTCTTAAGGTAGTAAAACACATGAAGCAACTTCATCCTGAAAAAGTAAGAGAAGTATTTCCTTTAAAAGATAAAGCTCTCTTACATTCAAACTAGATGTATATCTACAAACTGGGTAATCAAAAATCATATTTTTGCATTAATTTATCATTAAAAGACAGCATTTTTTTTTTCTTAACTCTTTTAATGCCAGGAACGATGTCCATTTAATTAAAAAGACATATGGGAAGTAAACTTGTAGTTGTTTTTTTCAGCAAATGTCAAAGAAAATTATTAACTTTTTTTATAAAGATAGTATATCTCAGTAAACCAAGAAAATTGGAGGGACACTTAAGAAGGTCATGTAAAGGTAGTAATAAAATCTCAAATGGGCAATTCGGATTGCAAGATTCATCATGCGATACAAAGAAGTAAAGATTGAACATTTATTTAAGAAATTAAAACTTATATAAATTACATATATTAGTAAAAAGAACATCATGACATGCACACTTTTACCATCCCAAACCAACAGAGTAAAATTATAATGGCACAGTATTTATTTAAGATATATCTGGATTATTATAAGTATTTTATTTTTAATCCAAATTAGTTATGATTGCAGTAAGTATCTAAATATTTTGCCAAAACATGTAGGAATTATACTAAGCATTTCTTTTCAACATATGTGAGAGATCTTGATCTACTGGAAACAATTTTTAAATGCTGAAATAACCATATAATAATTATAGTATTTTGGCACTTGTGTATAAAGATAAAATCATATATAATATTGAATGCTAAACTGGTACATAATTAAAAACATTTTAGTTTCATATATTCCAGTTTACATTGGTCAGACAAAACGTAAGTTAAAATACCGCTTAAATGAGCATAAAAAACTGAAAATTCATCCATAGCAGAACATGTACAGGAAACACAACACACAATATTATGGGAAAAACTGTAATAGTAGCTCAACCTAAAAGTATAATAGGTAATAATATTCGTGAATCGTTAGAAATAATAAAACATAAAAAAGATCATGTAGTATTAAATAGAGATGAAGGTATGGCAAATATTTCTACAAGAATGTGGATTGATTGGTTTAGC